GGGGCGGCCGTTAGGGCGGCGCGCGGCCGCCCCACCCCAGCACTCAGGAAGCAGCAACGATTTTTCCGTGTTTTATCACAGCAGACAGACAGACACCAGCTTGGGAACAGGGATACAGCACAGAGCCTACGGCTACAGGACGTGTGCGCGCCGCGCTAGGACAGTGTAAGCGCCACCACAACGGCAATGAAACACACGGGAACACAGCCTGCCCGGCTGCTGCATCTCTTAACAAGCGTTAACAAAATTAAAGGCATCCACTGGGCCACCTGAATAATAAAGCTAAAGTACAGGTTACATCATTTATAAGCTGCGTTGATTTCTAGCAGGATAAGACTTTAAAAAGAGGCATTTTAGTTCTTGTTATGGCTTACTACTGTGGCTTCACCAGTGACAGTGCGAAACCTTAATGGAAACATTTATCACACACACCAAACTCAATGAGGCGGATCACAGTTACTCTGATCAGCATGGAACACCGTGGTGAGGCATTACAGTGAATTCCTCCTTCCCAGGATCAGCAGAAAACGCTCTAACACTCGCCCTGGGCTCCGCACCTCAGCCGTGCACCCAGTCTGCAGCATGGGCTCTCCTTCCTGCCCCGCTGCCAGGCACCTGGCCTACCTGGCACTCGGTAGTGAAGCTGCTCCCACGTGCGCCTTGCTGTCCCTAGGAAGACTCAGCAGATGGAAATGAACAACTGAGTGACATCCACGCTAGCAGCTAAGCCAGAGCAGGCTCCTATAGGTAACTGGTGCTGGCTGTGGCATGCTGAGAAGGTAAGAAGCAGGAGAGCAAATTTTTGGTCAGCAGAGTAAGCAGCTTGTCACCCAGAGCACCTGGAGACACTGCCATCTTCACCCAGTTACCTCTTTTGCAAAATCCTGGGCGCCTGGAAGTAACATCAGTCAGTGCTCCATCTGTATGCATGTATACACGTATGTATACACGCGCACACACACACACATATATATATATATATATTTGCCTCTATCCTTGCTTTTCCCAGGAGGTGCTGAGGCTCCATCTCCCAGCAAGGCAATGGAGCCGAGCCCGCTCAGCACCTCCGAGGCGGGCGCTGCACAAGCCGGGAGGGATGTTTGGCCTGCGCGAGTTGTCTCCTCACACTGCTCACGCTGTAAGTCAAATACACAGCAGGAGGGTGTGAGGGCTGCCCTCAGTCAAATGGACAGTAATTCTTCAAGCAACAGCAGAACCTGCATGCTGTGCTACAGCACTGAGACTGCTGTTTCTAACACAGTATTTTGAATAGCTATTTCAGAATTCTGAAGAGATTAGAGAGTCCTTTTTAGGAGATGGGTATCTTTTTAGCTCTTCAGAAAGACAGTTTTATGACACACGTGTTCATATTATGAACCCTCAGGACCCAAAAATCCCCATCTCCTAATCAGCACATTGTAGAAACTCTTAGGATGATCTCAGGACTTTGCTGTGCTCAGCAACCCCATGATTACAAACTCCAGTATTGATGAATCCCAAGGCACAGGGTAACTTTGGGCGTTGCTTATGATTTCATGGCTTGTTTGACAGCTGCTCTGCAGTTTGCCCATAGCAGCTAATGGCTAAATTCACATTTCAGTTTAATGCCATGATGCTGCAGCATAGACCACAACTGAGCCGTGACTTCAGCTGATCCTCCAAGGGCCTCACCACCTACACATAAATGTGATGTGGATGTATCTCAGACTTGCACTAGGATATTACGTACATAAAATGGAACTCTTTTAAACAGAATTTTCAACATGCCAAAAATAGATTCTTTCAACAACTTTCTGCCCTGCAATATCCATTTTCTGTTTACAATGTACTATATATGTGCGTGTGTGTATATATATATATTTTTATATATAGGAACATGAAAATTCCATATCTAAATATTTACTTTAAATCCCTATAACTAAGAACATAAGACAGCATCAATGGAGCAGTTGCTCAGTACCAGGAGGTCCTTGCATTCCAGATGCGCTTTCCTGTTTTTTTTGACCACTAGGGATGAATTACTCAGTACCTTGAAGCAGGACAGCGAGGACTATTTATACCATTTGCAGACCATTCGCCCCCTGCCCATCTATATCTGTGCACAGCACGTGCATTCCTTCCTACGGTATGCACTGTATTTAGCTTTACAGAGCAAATATTTTTGTAGCACAAGGGTAATATCTTACAGAGAGGAATGAAACCCACAGACAAAAGTAAACTCAACTAAAGTGTACAGTGACACACACACACAAAAATCAGATCTAACCACTCCCTGGTCAGAAACAATGGTCCCAAGGTGGGAAAAAAAATCAAGCTTCAGACTGGTACTTTTTGTCAGTATTTTGACAGTCAGTACCAAATTTTAAGAGCCTTGGATATAGCCCTGCTCCCCCAAAACTACAAAAATAAACCCTGTGCACAACCTCAAAGAGGTTTTTCCTTTTCTGTCTCCTACCGTACAGGTCTGCTTACCCCGAAAAGCTGCTGATCATGAGCACAGTACACAGGTGCCAAATCAAGGCTTAATGGCCCATGTACTTGTACACACTCTCATACCCTGAGAATTATGTAAAAATTCTCCTCTGCTCCTGTGGTCTCGCCTTGAACTGAAACAGATTTGACAAACAGAAATTTGCCAGTCTCTAGCAAACAGGCTGTGAGCTCTGTTCAGCTGTCGCAGATAATAAAGTGCTCTTGCTTTAATTAGTTATCAGGGCGCTCAAAGGAGGAGGTGCCGCTTCTCCTCCTCCTCTTTTTACTGCACTCGCCCAAGATTTAAACGTGAGATTCATCTAGATCGACGTCAGTCTCGCCAAGCTCCACGTGCGCGTAGCTGAAGTGCGTGGCCAGCAGGGGGTTCTCCATGCCGTTGTCCTCGCTGATGTGCAGCACCGTGTCCCCGTGCTGCAGCAGGCTGGTGGTCTCCAGGCCGGCAAAGTCCTCGGTGTCTGAGAGCTGCGTGGGGGTGCTGCTCTGTGCCGTGGCTGGCCGGGACTCTATAGCCTCTTCCTCTTCCTTCTCAGCAGAAAGGGCCTCGCTCTAGAATTGAGCAGAGCCAGCAGTCAGGCTGCAACTCGGGGGAAGAGGGGAGGGAGGAAGAAAAATTCAAGGGAACATCTATAAAATATTTTCTCACCCATAACTACTTTTTAAAGAACCAGGCATTTATAGGTGATCCATCACCTCATGATGCATATTTTTGCAGTGACCAGACAGGCTGAGTTTCATCATTTGTATTTCTTCATTTCACTTTTGAGTATTTTTTCTGTAGTATGTATCTTTATTTGCCGTTGTTCATGGCAAAGAACATTCATCCATGAGATATGCGGGCTTATAAATGTGATCTTAATGTCAGCAATGGGTTGGAATGACAATTGTGATTGTCCCTGCACTGCCCCCAGCGGTGCCCAACACAGAGAAACATTGGACAAACAGCTTATTTTGAAATGTGATACTTTTGCTAAACCAGTCATGAGTTTTTAAAGGAACCCTTCCTTAAGGACGAGCCGGTCTAGCAAACACTCAGCTCCACTCCTGCAATGCAGAAGGTGTGTGGACGAGCGGTCAGTGCTTGCCCTGGCGAGCAGGGTCGGATGGGCGTTTGTGTGTGATGGGAAAATAAAAGGGGAAAATGCAGGAAACGTATTTGCAGATAAAGAATCACTGCAACATCCAGAAGTCAGTGGTTATGAAAGCAGAGGGATGGGCAGGAGACAGCTTAGAGGAGAGACACACAGAGGACTGCTGCTTTTACTCACAAGCCAACTTGTGTCACCATGTGTCACACATTTCCCTGTATTTTCCCCCGCAAGCTAAACTAGCAGCCCCCCGTGGGTGAAGCTGCCAGTGCCGCTACCTGGCCGGCGGTCTGGCTGTGAAGATCAGCTACGACGATGGCAGGCGAGGAAGTCAGCAGGGGTTTCCCCGGAGCTCCCTGCTTGCTAGGCCCCGGGGGGCTGCTCCCCTGCTGTGGTGCTGCTGCAGCCGAGGGGCTGCCTGGAGGAGCTGCCGTTGCCTCCGCCTGGGCTTCCGTGAAAGTCACTGACCGCTTCTGCTCCACTAAGAGTACAAAAAATACAGAAGATTCAGTATTAAAGTGCTCTGATTAAGGACTGAAAACACAGCACACACAGCAAAGAGAGCATCCCTAAAGTTTTCACAGCTAGGGCAGCATTCATGGTTCATTGCATCTTTGTAATCTGTCTAAACGGAGTCTAATATTCAAGCTTTTTACCCTACTCTTACTCTAAAGCCAATGCCAAAGGCAAGAATTTCCTGAAAACTGTTCATCCTAGCTCTCTGTCACAGCTTGATGAGATAAATGTCACCCACAACATTCTTCCATCCTAGGACTGAGTTCCTATCTAAGTTAGGTCTTACTGCCCTCAACAAGAGCAAAACCAAGAGGCAAATATGTAAGGGACTTTTTTTTTTTTGATGATAAGACTGCTGGGATTTCACATCAAATATGGTGGTGAACAGCAAGTAGATTTTAACAACCCAGCCATTACCAACCTGAGCCAAACACAGGCTAGTAAAACATGGCACCTCATTTCTACGAGATGAGCGTATGTATTCTTCAAACATATTAACTCTTCCTTAGAGCCAAAACAACATCACAGTGTTTTCTACTTTAAAATATGAAGTGCTAGTTC